CCTCGACATCAGGGCAGGATACTGATATTCAAAATGCTACATTGGACGAGAATGCTATGGATGCTGAGATGGACGATGGAGAAACGAATACCGAAGCCAGGGCCGCTACACTACTTGCACCAACTCCTGTCAAGTCGCAATCTAGTGGTCGATGGAAAGGTTCATCTATGCAACAAAAGAATAAGCGATCAAAAGCAAATCCAAAACGCCGAGGAGAGCACGAAATGGAGGGTTCTGAGGATGAGGAGCAGGAGCAGAGGTCGGATGGGGAAGGAGTGCCGGTGGTAGAAGTAAATTGGAAAGTCAGGGGTCCCCTACATGTCGAATCGTCCTCGAGAACGACAGGGGATCATGTCGAAACAGAGGAAGGCCTACAGGATCATGAAGACGAAAATTTCCAACTTCAGCCAGCAGGTCAACTGTTATGGATGGGTCGCCAACCTCAAGAAGAGGACGAAGAGATGGAGCAAGAAGAGATCAATATAGACGTACCACCGGAGTTAAGGGAAGTGCTCGAGCTCTCGCCATCGAAACCGAGGAGAACAGACGAGGAAGTGCTCGAAGATCTATTCTCAGGTAAAGGTGACCGTACAAAGAGAGCAGAGGTGTGGACGGCGGGTGACTTTGACGAGGATGCGGATTCAGAGGAATGGGATGGGGATGCCGTCGGTTGGTGGGAGGCGGAACTATGACTTTTACATTATTCGATTACTATTATCATTGACTAGTCTACTCTTGTTCTGCCGTGCAGTGCTTTTCTGTATCCTGATGGAATTCTCCTCTCCTGTGTTGTGAACTGAGCAGAGTAAGGGGACGGGTGTGCGGACACCAAGCCCACTCCCTGTTGGCATCATCTTGGCCCTTAATGCCTGTACAGCTCACTTCGACCCGTAATCTCGTTACTCGCAGCTGATGTCGAGGCGCATGACAGGAGTGTCGATACACAAATGATTGGCTGAATTACCGTCGATGCGGCCGTAGATTACTGAAATGTCATCCGGTACCAGTGCACTTGACGAGGTGTTACCAGCCTTTAAACTTCTGAAATCCAGATACACTATTGTCCTTGCTGTACAGGTGGGCCGCGTGCCTGTTGGAGGGCGAGGAGGGGAGACACGTTGTGGCCATGTCGCCTGTGCGAGTGTGCAGAAATTGTCTTGTATATACCACCAAATCGTCCAGAGACTCGAGAATAATCTCAGATTCTGTCCGTAACACCTCTGCGACCATGTCCATTCATCTTTCCCGCCCCACCACTCCTGCCGAAAGCGTAAAAACACTAGGACCGTTTCGCACCCCTCGCGCTCGCCCAGGACGCCTCTGGTCTCCATCAGCTGTAGATTCAGCAAAAGGATTCGAAGATCGCCCGCAGAGTCGAGGTTTTGCTCGCACACACCGCCGGACTTCCAGTGCGACCGACCAGCCCTTTACCACACCCAAGTCGCGCCGCGGGTTGCACGTCGACCGCGCTCAGACAGATTCGTCTTATTCTCGCGCTCCATCTCCTCCAGTTGCGGGTTCACATACTTCCCGTCACGGATACACCCTTCGCTCTTCCTTCCAATCGTTAGCCAGGTCAGGCAGCTTCTCACTTCTACGAACGCCCAAAGGGAGAAGCAGTGCTGCTGAAGCTCCTGAACTTGCACCG